ACCCCCACTTTTTTTTTTTTTTTTTTTTTTGACAGGTTTCACTATGTAGCTGAAACTGACCTGGAACTCACTATGTAGCCCACGTTGGTCTCAACTCACAGCGATCCTCCTGCCTCAGCCTCCTGAGTGCTGGGATTACAGACAGGCACCACCACGCCCGGCTCACCACTAACTTTTAAATCAGCAAAACAGACAATGACCAAAGTAGTGTGTGGGCCTCAGAGGGTGCGGGGCTCATTGTGGCTGCCCTGGAGTCACAGATGTCACAGGCTTTGGATTTGCATGTTCTGGTTTTGTTTTTGTGTTTTGGTACTGGCGATTGAACCCAAGTCCTTCATATCAAGCTGCATCTCCAGTCCTCCCTCCCTTTTTTCTCTTTTCACTTTGAGGCAGGTTCTCACTAAGTTGTGAAATTGCCCAGGATGGGATGAAATTCGAAACTCTCCCACCTCAGCCTCCCTTCATTCAACTTTCCAAAACAAAATCCTGCGGGTGCTGGTTCCTCCCCACAGAACACACAGCTGGCTGGGAGCCCCCCCCCCACCCCGCGCCCATGGTGAGGACCTGTTTTTACTACACTCTGTCAGGACTCTGGTCCTGCCTGGTGTAATTAAGTGGGCTGAGGGCATAAATAGGGGTTTTGTTTACCAGTAAAAACAGAGGTGTGAAGCCCAGTTCATAGCCAGGGAGAAGCTGGCAGCGGGAGGGGTGGAGCCGGAGCCCAGCCTGGCCAGCCAGGTCCCAGTTCTTAAAGCCCTTGGCCCTGGGCTGCTTCAGACTCGGCACCAGCACCCCCAGAGTACATTCCGGGTCCCGGCAGCCCAGGCCCAGTCCTCACCCAGCCTGCCAGGGAGCCAGGCTGGTCTTCAAGCAGACGCCAAGGGCCGGAGTCCCCGAGGAGGCGGTGGCAGGCTCTGACCAGGCCAACAGTGGCCAGCAAAGACCGGCTAGAAGCCTCGTGGTGACTCACTGTCCAGGCGGTGGCCATGGGGGGACGCCTGCGGCTCCCCCTGGGCACAGAGCACGGGCCCTGCAGGAGGTCCCTCCGGGAGATCGACCGGCCACTAGGGACACCCAGCGCCTGGCCAGGCGACAGAGCCAGGCCTGCTGAGGACGCTCAGTCCCAGGGGCTGCTGCGCCCACCTTAGAGGGGATGGATGGACAGAGGTTGTGGCCAGGGGCACTGCACCACCCCTCATTCCACCTGCCCTGCCCCTGCAGCCCCTCTCCAGGGTGTCTCAGGTTCCCTAAACACGGACCGTCCCTGGATCCACGGGGCACCTGGCCAGCCCAGACACATCCTGTGCACTGTGGGGTGACCAGGCTGTCCCGGTGTTTGGATGCACAGAGGTGGTGTGGACGGCCCAGGGAAAGCAGGACTGCAGACTGTCAGAGTCACTGAGTCACCTGAGCTTTCACCTGAGCCTGGGCCTGGGTCTGGGTCTCTGGGGCCCTCACGAGATGCAGCTCTGTGGGTCACAGGAAGGCTCTGTGGCTGGGCCCCAGACCCCAGTCCTTCTGCCCCAGTGCCCAGTCCTGGATGGCCCACATCTCTCCTAGCAGCCTGGCTTCCAGGGCTGTGTGATCTCAGGCAGGTCACTTAACCTCTCTGATCTCCAAGAACCACCTGCTTTTTAAAAGTGGAAACACTGGCTTCTTTGCCAATTGGGATGCTTTGCTGGGTTCAAGGCAGAGGTTGCATGTGCGGGGACCGTGTAGCTGTCCACAGCAGCTAAACAATGCCGATGAAAAGCCCTTTCTCCACTACTCTTTCCGTCACC